TAATTTGGGCGCTCGTTCGCTTATTCTCATACTTGCACGAATACATACGCACACACACACACACACACACACACACACACACACACACATGAATATACACATACACACACAGGGAGGAGAGTGAGAGAGTTACAGAGACAGAGAGAAAGAGAGAGAGTATGAAAGAGAGAGTGTAAGAAATAGAGAGAGTAAGAACTAGAGAGAGAGAGAGTGAGAAAGAGAGAGAGAAAGAGTAAGAAAGAGAGAGAGGGGGAGAGAGAGAGAGTGTGTGTGTGTGAGAAGGAGAGTAAGACAGACAGAAAGTGCTCAACTCCACTGATTCGAGACCTACCTTGACCCCCAGCACGGTGCCTTCATGGAACTATATTTCTCCGAGGATGGCACCCTGGATTACGCGGACCGATGGAACTTGTACATCTCGAGCTTTGATCCTTTCGGCGAAGTGAGCATGACCATTTGAATAGAAATCATAGTACCAACAGATAATACTACATATCAATATGAATGTCTACCCATATGCGTAATAGAATGTAACGAAAAATGTGAAACTTTCCTCTAAGGTGGATGTAGAGTACCGCATGAAGTCCCCGGGTCGTTTCCTGGACGATATCTCCTCGTGGAACATCCAGGTCATGGATGAGACTGCCGTGTGGCCCAACAACCCTGATTATCTCCCCAGTAAGTCTAAGCTGAGATTGCCGAATGTTTTTCTTTATATAACTTTACCAGCATTGAAAATAGGATCTATCCCTGCAGATTGTGTATCGGTTCCTTTTAAGCTCTCTTGAATGAGAGAACTTTTTGGATTCCCTCAAGCCCAGCAATTTTTTTGGATAATTGAAATCAATTTGCTCAAAATTCTACTTCTAATAATATAAATTAAAATGGACCTAAATCTTTGACATCAGAACTCACTTCCTCCTAAAGGTTCTGTAGCAGGCGCCGAGGGCATCATCTGGACTTCGGGCTTCCTCATGCCTGGCAAGACCGACGGGCAACTGCAGATGTACGATACTACGAAGGACCCTGCTGATGGACCTTACAACATCGCTAGCAATGATGATGTAGGCCTATAGTACTGTCTCTTTATGATTAATATGTTTTGTACTTATATCTGTAAGAATGCTGAATTATACTGGAGTAGTTCCCCACACAGAACAAATGAAAATGAAGTTATATATATATATATATATATATATATATATATATATATATATATATATATATATGCACCTGTTTCGTCTTGCATTTCGATATTTACTTTTTATTTATTTGTGTTTCTATTTACTAACACATAATAATCCCAACACAGGGGAAGTGGGCCTACCATCGGGTGATTTGGAAGGACATGGACTTGGACGGCGATTTAGATGCCCTCACAGCGCGATTCCACAGACCACTCATAGGTTAGTGGTCTTGCCTCCAATTCCTCCTCGGTTAGGTCACTTACCTTGCCTCCAGTTCCCCTTCGGTTGGTGCAATATGGTGGCAGCGGCAGGATACTTTGTCTAAAGAGATAGAGGATTGTTATTCATATTAGTAAATACAGGAATGGTGGTAATGATGATGGTAGTAGGTTTAAGAATGATGATAATCGTTATGTTGACAACAACAACAAAAAAGACAACAATAACACCCAGCGGCCAAACCATAACACAACGAGTCCCCCAACGCCGTCTTCAGGTACCACCCAGCACGACCTTCTGTGGTTTGAGAACGAAGGAACGGGTTTCAGTGAGGGGTGGAAGGAGCACGTAATAGCCAGCGACGGGCCAGACATCCACTTCGACATGGTGACCCTCAACGCCGGCGGGAGAGACTACAACTGTATTATCGCTGGCGAGTTCTTCAGCGAGAGGATTTCCATCTACTGGACGGAGAGCGAGGTCGACGATTGGAGTGACCCGACGCTGGTGGGGTTTTCCTTTTGGTTTATCTACCCTTGTGTGTACTTATCTACTTGTATGTGTGTACCTATCTACCTGTGTGTGTTCTTATCTACCTGTGTGTGTGCATTTATCTACCTGTGTGTGTATTTATCTACCTGTGTGTGTACCTACCTACCTGTGTGTGTACTTATCTCCCTGCATGTGTGTACCTATCTACCTGTGTGTGTACCTGTTTACCTGTGTGTGTACTTATCTACCTGCGTGTGTGTACCTATATCCCAGCGTGTGTGTATTTATCTACTTGTGTGTGTACATCAATTCCTTTAAAACTCCTTCCTCATCCTCTGCAGGTGAAGTCTCGTATCATCAACTCCAACGTCCAGCCTTTTGACGTGTTGGTGGAGGACTTCAACCGCGACGGAGTTCTGGAATTCCTGGTCACGGAGTTCAGGAATGACCTTGGAATCGGCCATGTCTCGGTGTACCAATTCCCGGAGGATTTCAGGTAGGGTTGGGACTTTATTTCGTCGTAACAATTTATATAATTTCATTTGTACGTTACTTTAGCTATTCATTGTATCGTTTTATGTTATTTCAATTTATGTCACTACGCGATTTCATTGCATTAGTTAGTTACTTCATTAAGATTCATTAAGTCATTTCATCACTTCATTATACTTCAGTACGTGTACCATTACATAATTTTATATCATATTATCCTTCACAATACCAGAATGCCAGTTCATCACATCAGATCATCACCCCATAACACATTATTTCAGCATTTTATATCCCCTCATTCTACTTCACTCGTTTATCACATTTTTATCACCTCATTATAAGTCACTACACCAATACGTCACTTCATAATGATTAATTCTATTTCATCACATCGTTTTCTACGTGAGACATCAGCATACCAGTTCATCACCACACGAATTCTACATCATCACATCACTCCATCGCCTCACTACACTCCACACCACCAATTCATCATCTCAGTTCATCCCCTTCATAATACGTAATCCTGCATCATCCCATCACTCCATCACCTCACTACATTCCACACCACGAATCCATCCCATTGCTTCACCAACCCCACAATACATAACTCCATCACATCACACACATTTGACCTAACTTCATTCACCCCACATCACACCCTTTTTATCTCACCTCATTCACCCCTTTCACCTCAGGACGGACGATTTTCCTCATTTCAAGATCGCCGACGGTTTTCTCCCGAACCAAGTGACGGGAGGGCAGACCATGTCGCCGGGAACGCCCAAGGTCTACTACCCTAACGCCGCCTACGCTGAAGATGTGGCCGAAGATGGGATGTAAGTGGGAGGTAGAGGGAGAGGGGTGGGAGGGAGGGAAGGAGATGGAGGGAGGGAGGGAGAGAAGGAGATGGAAGGAGGGAGGGAGAGGGGGAAAGAGAGAGGGAGAGGGATGGTGAAAGAGAGGGGTGGAGAGAGAGAGAGAGAGAGGGGGGGGGGGGTGAGTGTGAGAGAGAGAGAGAGAGGGGGGGAGGGTGAGTGAGAGAGAGAGAGAGTATCCTGTTGGTCATTTAGTATTTTGATTATCAATGATGATATTTAATTTTTGCAATTTTTTTTTTTATTGTGTATGAAGTGTTGTTGATATTATCATTGTTATTATTGTTACTATTATTATCATTATTATTATGAATAGTAGTAGTAGCATGATGGTGATGATGATGATTACCATTGTCATCATCTTTATTTTCAATACTATTACAGTGATCAATGAGCTATCATCACTTTGTTTATAATTATTGCAGTTATCATTATTATCATATTTACTACCACTTGTACTGCTTACTCTCACTACTATCATTCCAGTCACTTTATCTTTTGCCAACAGTAAACAATAAATAAACCCATAAAACACACACACACACAAAACACCAACATTAGCAACAAAACTAAAACACTAAACACTTCAATAATACCTACGACCATTGTAATACCAGGCCACACAAACCGTACATCCTGTTATCCGGAGATGATGACGGTCGCTTCTACGTGTTGTACCCTACGTCTGAAGATCGTAATGACTGGGTTTACGATAAGAACATCCTCATAGATACAGAGGACATCATGGTTGGTAAGTTCGATAGGTGTAGGTTGGTCAGAAGTCTATCTGGCTGGTATATCCGGTTTAGAATATATAGTTGGGTGTATCTTTATATGTTTGTCTGGCTCATCCGGCTATCAGTCTGTGTCTAAATCTCTTTATAAGTCTGTTTATTTATCAATCAATCTATGTATGTATATGTGTGTGTGTGTGTGTGTGCGTGTGTCTATCTATCCACCCATCTATCTATCACTGCCTGTCTATTTATCTATCTATATAGATAGATAGATAGATAGATATAAATATAGATATACACATATACACACACACGTATATGTGTATGCCAGTCTGTGTTTCTATCTATCTATCTCATATTCTTATGTATTTATCAGTGTATCAAACTCCGTATCTGCTTATCCGTACATCTGTCCCTCTGTCTGTCTGTCTATGTGTCTATCTTCCATTTGTGTATCTATATATCTATTAAAATATCTGTCAATATCTATTTATTTACCTGTCTACATACCTATCTATATATAAATTTATCTACGTCCACCTCTCAAGCTATCTATCTTTCTATCTATCTGTCTATTTATACAGAATATCTACCTGTCTGTCTCTGTATCTGCATGTCTCTTTCTGATCAAGCATATGTTTATTTACCTAAATGCCTATCCGTCTATCTATATTAGTCTATTTGTATATTTATCAACTTAACAAATTATCTGTCTTCATGTTAATATGTGTATATATTTATCTATATAAAGTCGAATATTCTGACTCACGAGAAAGAAAATAAATCTTTACCCCTTAACCCTTCCCTTTCCCCTACCACTTTCCCTTTTCCTCCCCTTCCCCTTTCCTTTCCTTTTCCCTTCCACGCTTCTTCCCCCCCTCCCCTTCCCCTACCACTTTCCCTTTTCTTCCTCTTCCCCTTCCTTTTCACTTCCACGCCTCTTCCCTCCCCACCTTCCCCATACCACTCCCTCTTTTCCTCCCCTTCCCCTAATTTCCCCCCTACCCCTTCCCCTTTCCTTCCCACCTTTCCCCCCCTACCACTTCCCCTTCCCCTACCCGAACCTCCTTCCCTTACCCCAACCCCCTTCCCCTTCTTCTCCCCCCCCCCCCCAGGTAAGATGGCCCACGGTGACCTAGACGGAGACGGCTACGAGGAGGTCATCGTGGCAGGCTACGCGGTGAATCAGCTGTTTGTCTTCACGTACGCTCCTTGAAACGTTTTTGAGGCGCAACAGTCTTGTGTCGATACGTTTTTGAGGCGACGTTCGAATGTTTGGTGCTTTATTTTTTTTGTATTGATTTGATCAGTTATTTATTTATTTATTAATTCATGTATTTATTCATTATCCTTTTCTTATTAAGCTCAGTTGATTATTTATTCTATTAATAAATAATTAATCGCATGTTTTGGTACTGATTTACCTGTTTATTTATTTATATATAATTATTATTTCTTATCAAGTTCCGAAAAAAAGGATCAACTTTTATCATTTATCAGGAAAGGAATTAATCGAAATCCCGAGAGCAGAAAAAAATCCATAAAACAGGAATTATTTGGAATCATCAGAGGAGTTGTTAAGAATCTTCAAAATATGAATAATTTGGAATCACAACGAAAATTGGGATAATTTGGAATCGTCAGAATAGGAATAAATTGGAATCACTTGATGAACAGGAATAACATGGAATCAACGAAATTTGGGATAATTTGAAATCAGCAGAACAGAATCTAAGAATGGAAAGAAAAGAACGCAGTTGTGTGTTAAAATAGCCAAATCTTTTACGAAACTCTGTAAAGTAATTTGACTTTGACAAATAAAACTGAATTCGTGTGAGACATTCTTTTAATCTATTCGGACCTACTGTAATTCATTGTTATTGAGTGATTTTACATGCATGGAGGTGATTTGTGAGTGTGTTTATTTGCTTGTATGTATACGCTGGTATGCGTGTATGCTCGTATACATACGTTTGGGTGTGTGTATTTACCTTAAGTGGGTGTGCCTGCGTGTATGTGTGTGAGTTGTTTAAGTACGAATGTAGATGTGTTTGTCGATGTGTGTGTGTATTTGTACGTCCAGTATGTGTTTGAGTTCGGTTATGTGTTTGTGTGTGTGTGTGTGTGTGTGTGTGTGTGTGTGTGTGTATGTGTGTTCATGTGTGTGTGTGTGTGTGTGTGTGTGTGTGTGTGTGTGTGTGTGTGTGTGTGTGTGTGCGTGCGTGCGTGCGTGCATATGCATGTGCGTGTTTGAGTGCGTGTGCGTATGCCTGTGTTTTTCTTTTCATTTGTTTCTTGAAGACCGAAATAGGGTTAAACTTTACAAAGAAAAACCATAGCTTGTTAGAACGTAGTGTATCCTTAATAATGCATGAATTAAAACGAAAATAGTACAGTCTGAAGCCGAAAAAAAATATTTTACATTATGTTAAATTTTATGGAATATGCATAGTTAACGTTTTATAGGAAGAAAGGACATCATGAAAGGCCAAATTGAGGAATATTACTGTAAAACTGATGATTGATTGAAATAAACGATCCTTAAAAGCCCCAACAAAATAAACATACTTTTACAACTGGGTGTTAAAGACACTGGAACTTAATTCATAATAACCCAAAACTTCCTTATAATCACACACACACATACACACACACACACACACACACACACACACACACACACACACACACTCACACACACACACACATACACACACACACACACAAACACACACACAAACGCACACACACACACACACACACACACACACACACATATATATATATACACACACACACACACGCAATGATGCTTGTGCCTATGGAGGTCTGCGTATGCAAATACATGTACACAATATGTTTTAATCTATGTATCTATTGTGTATCTATGTATATATGTGCTTTTATACCTGTAGTGTGTCTATATACATATGTAGGTATATGTGTGTGTGTAACTCTATGAAAATAAATTCCTAATGTCGAACTTGTAACAGTGTAAAGCAGGAAACGTCTCGGCGGTTAAGATATTTAAAATAGTTTCTGCTTTATCTCACATCGTTTTCTACGAGTCCCACCTAACAACACCTGTTATCATCTGATATTATAGACTATAGACTGATATAATTCATCTTCAAGTCGTTCTGTATTTCAAACTTCAACACAGAAGCTATGGAAGGAAGACCTAAAAATCTAATAAAGAAAGAAAGTATTTATCTATCCATCATCGTTAATCAGATCTGGTTATCTGTTTCTTCAACGGGACTATATTCAAGGTCGAATTTTAATATTGACAAGTTTGACCATGAGAAAGAGGAAGAGAAACTCCGCCCAGTAAGTCTTTATCACGCTCCTAATGTGAAAATTATGTGGAATGTTCTAAATCATGTGTTACCAAACTAAGGGCCATGGGATACGAAATGGTTAGTGGTTGTAACTAATAAATGTGCTAGACATCAGAGGTCAAATAGCACTATGATAAAGTACTGTAATGAAAAA